TGTTCAGTGCTTCAGAAACACAGGGATGTGCAGTGGTATTTCCAGAAGTGGTACCCTGGGCCCAGTGAACAAGAAGTCACCTCCTGGGGCTCCCAGGGAGGCTGCTCACCAGCAGTTCTGTGTTCTCCAGGGTGTGCACTGATATGCGAGGATTTTCAGGCACTGAAGGTAACACTGGTGTTACGATCATCAAAGCTAGGTCAGCCCCTGACCCTCAATCTGTATCTCAGGCATTATCATTCACAGGATGAAAACTGGGCCTTGCTTCTCCCAGAGCTGGGACTGCGGTTTTGATTTGCTGGATTCAGCTATGTTCCTTCTAAAACAATCAGCTTGGGTCCACGGCAGCAAATAAATGGATTGACAAGAAACAGCCCACAAATCTTACCTTTCATTTACAAATCTTGCCAGGGATTTCTGGCTAGCACAGAGGTGATTTACAGATCCAAAGATCTTAACTCACCTTGGGACACAGGTGACAAATGGGGTTTTCAAAGGCTGCTATTGTGATCCACATTTGTAAATCCCATTCTTGCATTGTTTAACTCAGCACATCTGATTTATAAACTCTGATCAGCCTTTGCACACCTGGCTGTCCTCTGTAATTCAGACTGAGCGACAACCTGCCTAATGGCAGCAATGAGCAAACCTCAGAGGAAGTTTTGATCAGTGCCCAAAAGCCATTTCTCAGAATTATCTCAAGCAGTTCACATGATGCACAACATTTTGGCACTTCTGCTTCTGCTCCTAACCCCAGCAGCCAGGTCTCTTTGCTCATCAGGAGACAGTATAGAAGCCCATTAACCCTGGGATCTCATCTTTTTGCCATTTAATTCGATAGGAAATATTCTTCCCCCAGACATAGCTTGGGCTTGGCTTGAGAGGGCAGGTCTGGAATGAGCTGGAGAGGATGCTCTGGACTTTGTTTTAACCAGCTTTTGTCTGGCCCCTTGAGTGACCTACCTACACTTCAGTAAGAAAGATTTCTTTATACAAATCATTTGGAGTATAGACTGCCTTACTTTTTGGATCCATGGTGTCTTGCAAAATGGGGCTCTGGTCCTGGAAAACAGTAGTGATGTTTATCAGAGTTATTTTAAAGAATGAGGCCTAACACTCCCCATAAAATTTCATGCTGTGTGTGTTACAGCTAACAAATAGCCATGGACTCTCCATGTCACACTAGCAACATGTTTTATCATCACAAGTGTGAAAAATACTAAAGTTGTTAAGTGTAGGATTATTCTTAATAGATTAACAATTTGATTTATTAATCTTGGCTGACCATAGCTCTGCATCACAAAGCCAGCTCCTGAATATGGTAATATTGCCTTTGATATAATACAGCTGATGGCATTCCAAGATACACCTTGAATACTGTACACCAGGTTACAATGTAGTCTATAATAGCAATTCACCTTGAATAATGTTGTTGTTTTCTTGGTTGTCTCCTGAGCACAAACAATCTCTCTGCTGGTTTTGGTTCATGTTTATCAAGATGGCAAATAGTTAGCAACCAGTCCAGAGGCTAATTACCAAAACAGCCATCCCAGCTGATTCACTGATACGAGTAGCTTGTTCACTACCCATAGAAACACAGACATAAGAGGATTTTGCTGTGGAATTACCCCTACATGAAGCATTTCTGCCTTAGAAGGAAGGGACAAAAATGGAAGACTCACCCTCTGTACCTGACCCTTGGATAAATAAATGAAATTCTTCCTCAGGGATTTTATTTCAGTACTTTACATCAATAATAAAAAGAGAAATAAATAAAGGTGGAATTGAAGGCAGAACATTAAAAATGTCTCCTGAGTGCTCACAAGCCTTCCCCTGCAAATCTTCAGTGACAGTTGCAAGATAAGATCCATCCAATCAGAGGTCAACATCATGTATGGGTGCGTAACTATTAGGGGTATGAAAAATTTTGATAGGTGTTTTGTTTTGAAGCTCTTTTGACGCGTTTTGAGCTCGAAACAGCAAAATCAAAATGAAACAAAAAGCTTTGAAATGGCTTTGAAACAAAACAAGGGCACTTGAAACATTTCAAAAGTTTTGAAACATTTCGAGTTTCAAAGCCAGGCTTGCTTGCAGATAAACAGAAACTAAGGAGAGGGAGAGGAAAGAGTGGGGACGAGGGGGGAAGGACCCCTCTGATATTGATATCTAGCTCCCGGTTTGATTCCCCAGCTCTCTGATCGCTTCCCCCAGCTCTCTGATCATTTCCTCAGCTTTTCCCGGGGTGGTCCAGGCCCCTGATCTGCGCACAGGGTTTCAGCAGGCTTCTGCTGCAGGCTAGGGCCAGCGGCAGTTGCTTGGCGCAGCTTGTGCTGAGCGCCAGGAAGACCGTAGTGCTGCCACTGGCCCCAGCTTGCAGTAGCAACCTGCTGAAACCTGGCGCGCAGATCCAGGGGCCTGTGCCCCCCACAAAGAGCTGGGGAAATGATCAGAGAGCTGGGGAATCATACTGGGAGCTAGATGTCAATATCAAAGCAGTCCTTCCCCCCTTGTCCCCACTCTTTCCTCTCCCTCTCCTTAATTCCTGTTTATCTGCAAACAAGCCTGGCTTTGAAACTGCACCCCCACGGGAAGAGCTGAGGGAATGATCAGTGAGCTGGAGAATCAAACCGGGAGCTCCAGCTGACAGGTGGATCTGCCCCAGCTCCAGGACAGTGTGCAGCAGCCTGCCAAGCTGCAGTACACCTGTGCGATGGTGCAGCTGCTGCATGGGTGCCAGGCAGGGGCGGGAGGGGGGGAGCGATCCGCACTGCCCCACAATGTGTGCAGGGGGGACTCTGCCATGAGCACCCAGAGACCCCAGTCACCGCTGCCAGAGCCAGTGAGTGCATTGCTTTTTTTTTTTTTTTTTTAATTCTGCACACCAGCTGTGGAGCACGCAGATGAAAGCAGGCTGTTGCTGTCAGCCGGGGCCAGCACAAGCACCCAAGTCTGCCTTGCACCGCCCACACTAAGTGCCAGGAAGAATCCCATGCTGGCACTGGCCCCAGCCAGCAGCGGCAGCCTGTTGTCATCCCGCACGGAGATCCAGGGGCCTGCGCCCCCCAGGAGGTATCTGGCACAGCCCCACAGCCCCCTGGATCTGCACGCGGGATGGAGCATGCTGCTGGCAAATGATACTAGTTTTGCTTTGAACAGTTTGAGATGCAGTTTCACAAAAGCTCCTGTACCTACCTCCTTGAAACTTGGCAGGTCTCATGCCCTCAGATGGGGCTACCAACCCTGCAATATTCACCTGAATCAGGCAAGAAATGACAAAGGTATAGGCATTTTCATGATTCCCCATTATAGCCTATTAGCGAAACGTAACGCGTTGAAACAGCGAAACAGTTTTGACGAAACAAAATGGAACAGTGCTTCGAAACAGCGAAATGAAACGCTGTCCCTTCGAAACAGTGAAACGGAAGTCAAAACAAAATGGTGCTGTTTCACACAGCCCTAGTAACTATTTCTGTCATGACAAACAAACCTACAGCTGCCAAGTCCTTTCTGAAACTCATATTCTGGAAAGGCAGCTGATTATATAAAATTATACAAAGTGAGGCAGCCACTGAAGAAAGCAGCAACAGGAAAAGCATTAAAATAGTCTCGGTTTGGATAAGCACCTGAATATTCAGATGTTGACTTGAATATCTGAACTCCTGGGTGTAGAGAATTAACGTGCTGTAACCGCAGGCACAGCCGGTGAGCCAGGCCTAGAATCCTGATCTCGCAGAGCTGTTTAACCAACAGCAGCACAAGACTGCTTGCCACCTTTTTGGGTTCTGTCACTACAGGCCAAACTCATTCTCCCTCAGTGAATTTGGGCTGCTAATCTCATTTAAGCCGGTTGCCTCATATCATGGTCCATTGCTGATCCCAACAGGGAACTTCAGAATTCATGGTTGCTTGCCCATTCTTCCCTCACCCTGATGCTAAAGAGGCATGACAGCAGTTATTCAAGAAATAACATCATCTCTTTTTTTGCTCATTCTCCAATAACTCTTCCGTGCTAATGCCATCCACATTAGCATCAAATCGATGAGACTTAGCATATATATAGTACAGTCAACAATATAGCAATTGAGACACATCCTACCTAAACATACCACCAGAAAGCTTGTGGAGGAAAGGTCTTCCCACCTTCAGTTTGCCATGTTGGCAAGTAAACAAGGGCAATGCTGAATCTGGTCCTAAATTGCTTTGCTCATTAAAGGCAAGTGGCACAGCTGTTTCTGAGACTCCCCTCAATATATAGAAAAATCAGCAAGGTAGCTGGCATATCTGTCATGATGAAAGCAATTCAGACTCCTAACATAATAGAAACTAGGGATCTCTCTCAAAGGGTCGTGCTCACACAGGACAAAAGTCCTGAAGAATAACATGCAATAACCCCAACTTCTGGCAAGCACATGGCATGAGATCGCTGATGGTATTAGGACAATTCAGAGCTCAGAGTAAGTGCACTACACAAATGGAGACAAAGTCTCAACTCCCAAACCCAGGAGGTTTCACTTGCAAAGATGGAGAATACCTTCTCTAAAAGGAAAAAGTACTTGGATTTTGCCTGTCTTCACAAAACACTTTGGAAAGCAGTAGTCGCATAAATATGTCTCAGAGATAGCTTCAGTGACAGTAATGAACCCAAAGGACATATGGTAATAAAAAGCAGAGCAAAACTACAGATGATTTGAAATTTCACAGTTTCCCCCATCTGTGAGAAACACTTAGCCAAAGGGAAAGAAGGCCCATTGCCTATGTTAGGTCATAAAACCTCTGATTTATATCGGAGGGAAACTAATCTGGGGGGAAAAGGTTAATGCTCCATTTTTTATATTGCAATAAAATAACTCAAACTAATCGAAAAAAAACTGCCGCTAAAGAAACTGTTCTGGCTGCTAGAAGCTTTTACTAATGCGTGTTGTTAGTTTCCCTGGCTAAGTATGCAGTAGATAAATGCCACCCCTGAAGCAGATAGAGAGATTTTTTAAACAATGCCTTACTTTATCGACTAGCAGCTGCTCAGCTCCAGGCTTCAGGGGCTTCCATCTCCTTCCACCATTCCTGCAGTCTCTGCGCACCTCCAAAGTCTTTGAACCCAGGTCGTTCTCAGCTGCCAAGACAAAATCCACAGGATAAAGAAGGAATCATAAAAGATAAACACTGTGTTCTGGCTCAGTCTGTGGGTGGAGGCTGTTCCATCTAAATGAAAGAAACCAAACTGTTTGCAAGACACTTATTCAAGCTTTACTTTATTGTTTTTAGAAAAAGCAGAGTATGTCCCTGCCTATCCCACTTTGGATACTGCAGAAACTCAGGTGTAAATCAGGAGCTGAGGGCCAAATTCAGAAAGATGTAAGTGGGTAGGGGCAGTAGGGTAAGCAAGTAGTTTAAAACGCAGCACAATGCAGAAGTATAATCTGAATGTATTTGTATTGATGGCATGATAGCTCATGAATCAGAAGTGCTACAAAATATTTCTTCCAGGTCCCTGGCAATCTGAAGTCCTCAGCCCTTGTGATCTACAAGAAGTGACAAGCTGAAAGATTAAACTGTTCCTTTGGTCTATGCAAAAGGGAAACAGGCCATACAATGCTGTCTGCTAGAGAAGTCAGGGGCCTTTCATCACCCTAAGCTTTTTGGACCAGTCCACCCAAGAGTGCTATTCCCATGCAATTTTAGGGTAGTTGCATCACTTACACCAAACCCGAATTTGTGCTTAGAAAGACCAGTGGTCCCCAGGGCATTCTTCCCTAAACCAGGGGTAAGCTGGTCTAAAGACTAACTTACCTGCTTTAAAATCAGTTCTATTTTTACTACTCAACCAAGAAGCAAACTCCCCCTCCCCTGCCTATTCTGCCAGATTTGGGAAAGCACTCTGAAGCCATCAGAAGCAGGTACTTCCCTCTCTCTTTTTGCCATGGATCAGTTTGAATCATTTCCTCCAGTCCACCTTCCACAAAGCACCGGCCTGGAGTGACACCCACCGGGAGAGAGAAGCTGTAGAAAGACACTACGTGTAGGTCCCCAGCTGCTGCCAACACAGGCTCCTGAGTCAGCAGGCCGCATGCAGCTTGAGCAGAGCGCTAGCAGCATGTGGTGCGTGTGTGTTTGCTTCCCTTGGGACCTACCATCCCTTTCTGGGAGAAAAGCATCTACATAGAGTGGCTGAATTAGGGAAATTTTGCCTGAGATGTGCATCACTGATTTCCCTCCTCCCAGCCCATCGCAACACATCCAGACCACAGTTGTACCAGATGCTACTCCATGATGGTCATTTGACTCAGGCTTGCAAACAGAACATCAGATCGTGACACTGCTCTGACCTTCAAAGGTCAGATAGGGACAGTGGAATGGGCCAACGACCAGATAGACTGAAACCCCTGAGTCCAAGCAGTTCTGAACTCTGGAAGAGTAGAGATAGGAGTCAAAATCTCAACTTGGCAGCCCAGCTCAGCTCTGCCTTGCAGTGGGGTGGCACGCGCTCTGTGTGGTGTGCATTTCAGTAGCACCTACCAACTGAATCAGCCAGACCTTAGTAAACAACCACCCATTTCCCCTCTATGGTGGGAAGCGGGGACAAGGCTTGTCTTTAAAATCTGAAGCACAGTTCAATGAACCTTGATTTAACAGGTCTCTTAACAGTAGTCCTGTGCTCTGCTTCAATGGTTATGTACAAATGTTCAGCACACCCAGTCTAGGTTTAGGCAGTTTACCTTAACCAGGAGTGGCATGTGCAGGCATTCAAAACAGCTGGACATAAGTAACCTGGAGGAGGAGGAGGAACTGGTGAGATTGGGAGGGAAGGGTCTGGTGAGTTCATGGGGGGGGAAGGGGAAGGTTGCCCAGTCTGGGGGTGGGGGACCAGGGTGATAAAAATAGCCTAGTCAGAGTTGGGGGTACGGGGCTGGGGTGAGTGGCTGGGCTCTCCCAGCCCCAG